CTCGGGGCTCAGTGTCACCACCCAGAGATCACGACCTGAGCTGAAATCAAGAGTCGGACATCTAACCAACTGAACCACCCCGGCGGCCCGACACTTGGCCTGTTTCCGACACACTCGTACTTACAATGCATGGTCCTGGAGGACTGTTTACTAGGGCGCTACCACCTTGTCGGTCTTGAACTCCAATTATTGTCTCCCCAGCGCTGCTGAATGAAGCTGACTGTTCTGTTCGACTCCTCTGCCCTGTGGTCCTTATAGCAAATGTACTCGCAGCCTCGTACCCTCCTGCATCTTGGCAGCCCTGAACTCCAGCCCCAGGGAAGCTGCTGGAAGCCTTGCTCAGCTTCTCAGTCTGACAGCTGCAGCCTTCTGTGTGGCTTCTCAGCCGCTCGGTCCGCACTAATCACTAATTGACAAATGCCTCGAGAAGAAACGTGGCAAGGAAAGCCAGGCTTTAAGGGGTCTCCCTTCTCCCTGTGATTTTGGCCTTTGGTCTCTCTCCCAAGCCATCAGAAGGATGTCTTGCTACTTGATCTGATCTGATGATTCGGATTGTTCTCCGTGGGAACTTTGGTCAGCTGCAGTCTCGTGTGCCACAGAATACAAGTGCATCGTCATTTTTCCTGTGTTCCTTGGGTAACAGCCACCTGTACCGACAGTCCCTGACTCAGGTCAACATTTTCAGTGAATAGAGGGAAGCCTGAAGTGCAAGGAGGGACAGACACTTACGCAGCTATCTGCTTTGTTAATACCAGAGCTGGGGCCCAAACCTGGGTCCCCCAAAGGCCAGGCCAGCGTGCCTTCCATGGCACCAGTCTTCCAAGAGGCGCCCCTTCTGTTTCTACTTCTTTCTGTCCTTGTAAGCTGGCCTGCTGCTTTGGACCATGAGAAGGACTGTGAGCCCCTCCTGCCCACATGCTACCCCACCCATGGTTGGGCCGTGTTGGGTGCTGACAGACTTGGTGCTTCTGCACACACACACACACACACACACACACACACACACACACACACCCTCTGGGTTCCCAGTGCGGACCAGGAGCAGACCACCTACTTGTCCCAGACATGCAGTCAGTTGTGGCTCTACCCTAATGGGCCGGGATGGCCTAATTACAGTCTCTGGCTTCCTGAGTAATTATGGGCCTCCCCAGAACTCCAGGGTGCTCCGTGCCTCTCCCCCAACTCTGCACCTCCGCCTCTGCCGCTCAGTTTCCTCCTTTGCCTTAAATGTCCCCCCGCTGCCCAGAGCAGGATCCAGCCCTCCCCTCCTTTGCCCTTAGCCCTACTGATACCAGGATCTGATTATGGGCTGCATCAAGGGCACCCTGTCCTGCAGAGTGCCTCGGTCAGCCTCTGTCCACATTCCTGGCTCCTAAGCTAACCACAAAACTACGGTTGTTTACTTCCTCCCAGGCTAGACCCAGGTCCCGCCGGCCCTCCCCTCTGACTGCATGATTCACGGCCGGCCCAGCAGGGACCGGTTGAGGCTCGGCTCACCTTCAGGTTCCCCTTCCCTGCTCCGTGTGGACCGTCTGTCTCCTCTGGGCAGCACCAGGCAGAAGGCCCTGGCAGGGGGAGGCAGGGAGGGGCTGGGGAAAGGGCCAGGAGCCCCAGCCACAGCGTGATGAGGACCAGAGGCAGCAGCGTCGGGGGAAGGAGCATGGGTTTCAGAGCTGCAGGCCTGGCTTTGAGTCCTGTCTCTACCCCTTCCTGTTGATGACGTTGGGCAAGCTGCCAGCCCCCGCACCCCCACTCCTCATCTTAGAACGGGACAGCAAGCTCTGTGTGCAGCGCCGACACAGGAGAGACTCGGTAGACACATGTTCGCTGCTCTCATTGTCCTTCCCTTCTCCAAGAGAAGGCAGGTCACAGAGAAGTTAGAGAGTGAGCGGGGGGGGGGGGGGGGGGCTGGGTGTCGCAGGCACAGGCACACCGACACGGGCCAGGCTCCATCTACTGGTCCCGGACGTGGACAGCGAGGGAGGCCTGGTAAGTAGCCCCAGACGTGGCCACCCCACCTGATGTCTTCAAGGGAACTGTCTAGGACAACCTTCTGTGTCCTCAGAGATGGGGTCAGTGGGGGCAGCCACGACTGGGGGTGTGGAGAAGGGAGGTGGCTCTTTTCCCTGAAGTCCTCCTTCCCCCTCAGGCTGGGGGCTGCCACCTCCTGGGGCAACGAGGTGGGCACACACCTTCTCCCCGGGCACATGGGCGCCCAGCCTTCCCCATCCAGGGAAGCCGCCAGGAGCTCCCCCAGGAAGAGGAGGCTTCGAGGGCTGGGGGGACGGGCAGAAGAGGGGGCCTTTACCCTCTGCCTTTTCTCCCTCACTACTGGTGTAGAGACCCTGAGAAGTCCTGGCAGCCAGCTGCTGTGCCCCTTGAGCAAGAGAGGAGCGGGCACCTGATGAAGACAGTGGCGAGGGAAGGATGGGGTCCTGGGGAGAGAGTGAGGGGGCTCCTGCCGGACCAGGAGGCTGCTCAGACAGGGCGCCCTCGTTGAGAGGGGACTTCTCGCGCTTTTCCTGAGATTCTGCTGAAAATGGGGAGTGTGGACCGCTCCATCCAGGGAACGAGGATGGAAGGCACAGCCGTGGTTGTAAGGAGAGAGGGTGAAGAACCAGGGAGCTGTGTTCCTGGAGCAGGCAGAGGCTGAGCCCAGGGAAGCAGGCCAGGGAGCAGGGACAGAAGCAGGAGGAGGGGTAGTGGCGCAGCTCAGGGGCCCTTCGGAACTGCCAAGTGCGACTCTCAATTTTATAGATGAGAGCCGAGCTCCAGAGTGGGCGGGAAGGCACCCAGCATCGCTCCAGGGCCCTCTGAGTCCCATCTGCCCACCCAGCCTCCAGGGGCCTCTCCACCTCTGATGGCTCTGCTGGCCCAGGTGCCGAGGCCAGAGCTGGGGTGAAGACCGACCGGTGCCATGACTTTGCCAGCTCCTAGCATGTCCTGCCAGGCTGCGGCGGGCGGGGGGCGGGGGGAGAGGTCCCCGCATGGGCCCCTCCCTGTCCCAGGTTGTTTGGGCTGCCTCGCTGAAGGCTGCAGGGCGGGGTGAGGGGCTGGGGGAGGCCCTCTGCAGACTGAAAAGCAGGTCCTGCCTTCTGGCTGCTCCCAGGCCAGGTCCCCTCCAGAGCCCTCCAGCCCCACCCCTGCCCCCGCCAGCCGGGTGACGGAATCCCCTCCTGTGCAGTTGGCCGGCCACGTGAGCTGAGTCCACACAGGGCCACATCCCCCTGTGTGGGGGGAAGTGGGCATGGGCAGGCAGGGGCAGGGAATGGCTGGAAGGTTTTTATTGGCCCTCGTGGGGCTGACTCTGTCTGGGCTCCAGTTTCCAGTTTAGATCCCAATTTAGATCTTAAAGAGGATGGTGTCACTGACACTCTGTGTTCCACAGAAACACTCTGGGAAGCAGACACGCAGGGAGCAGCAGGGGTGGGGAGCATGGGGGGTGGGGTGGGTAGTGAGGGTGGGCAGTGGGTAGCATTAGCCAGGATTCACAGCAGTTGCTTTTTCATTAGCTGGGGAGGAGGCCCTGGCATCGCAGACCTGGGTCACGGCCATTGGCAGGCCTCCCAGCTCCCAGCTCCCAGCTGCAGAATCCCTCCTCCCCAAGAGGCCCACCTGGGCTCTAGTTTCTGCTCAGGGGCCCCTGAGGATACTGCTTTGCCTCTCTGGGCGTTCGCTGCCTCCTCTGTGAAATGCAGGAACTGGACTGGCTCCTACCTTGCTCAAAAATGCTGGAAGTCTTTTGCAAGAGGAATGATGTAGCAGCAGAATTCTCAGGGAGAGCTGAGTCTGGGCATGAGAATTCATTCCCCAGGCCAGCCCTGGGGCCCACTGCTCCCACCAACCCTACCCAGCATCCTTTGCAGAGACCACTGAAGAAAGCCAGGTCTTTGCTGGGCCTTTGCTGCATGATCCTCATGAAGCCAGAGGGTCCTCTTTCCTCCACGCTCTGGGCATTGAGAAATGCCTTGGACAGAGTGATGGCCACACTCTGCTTTGTGTCCTCAGGGTTGGTACAACTCTGGGAGGTGCTGACTCTCAGATCCACATAGTCAGAAGGATATTACGGTCAACTGACCCCTGGCTTGGGAGCTAACCTGGGCCCTTTAAGGACAGACCACATCTTTATCTGGGCATCTCCCCCAGGTGCTAGGCCAGAGCCGGGTGGGAGCAGGGGGCCACAGCTGTGGGGGAGTTCTCTGCCACATGCCAGGCGCCATGCCCAGGGTGGGGGATGTGAGCCATGACCCTCACTCTTTTCCTGGGGTTCCATAGTCTAGCAGGGTCTACCAGATAGGCAAACCCTTGGGTTTGCTTTCGCTATACTGTGACTTTTTCTACGCATCACCTGCACGATTCAGCAAGTAGTAGCCTCAGGAGCTCCGAGAATAGGCTGGGGTAGTCAGGGTGGGCCTCCTGGAAGAGCTGTCCTTTCTCTGGGCTGTTGTGCCCATGCACTTATTCCTGGGAAGGGTCTGTCTCTCGTGCCTCACTTTTTTGGTTTTCTGCCCCATGTCACCTGACTCCATCTCTGTCTAGTCCCCTGAGAGTCATGCGCAGAGCCCAAGGTGTGAGGTCCGTGGGGAAGGGGGGTTATCAAAGACCACGAGAAGGTATAGAAGGCCAGGCCGGCCTCCAGACCTGGACAGTCTTGGCCATTTCCCAGAGCTGCCCAGCTCTCTCAGTTCCCAAACTGAGCCCTAAAATCGGAACAATGAATTCTCACTGTGCACCAGGCCTCAAGCACGTTTACACGCCTTGTCTCCGAATCCCGGCTAGCCTGTAGGTGAGGCTTCTCGCCCCCACTGCACAGGTGGTCTGGCTGACCTAGAGAAGTCACGGGATCGGCCCGCGCTCTGTCAGTTGGCAGACCTGGCCCTGGTGTCTGGCTAACCCTCGGGCTCGTCCCTGTGGCCTGGGCACCACACCTGCTTCATGGGAAAGCCTCAGGGGACCTGCCCCTCGTGCACTGACTTCTCCCCCCTTTTCTCTGGCCCTAGGTGCTCCCGGCCCTCCAGGACCAAGAGGACCCAAAGGAGACATGGGCACGAAGGGACCCATTGGCAGCAGAGGACCAAAAGGAGACCCTGGTAGCTTCGGCCCCCCGGGACCCCAGGGGCCTCAGGGGCAGCCTGGAGACCCAGGACCTGTGGGAGAAAGGGGGCCAGTTGGCCTTCGAGGTTTCCCAGGCCTCAAAGGCGCAAAGGGAAGCTTTGGAAGTGGAGGCTCAAGAGGACAGCCAGGCCCCAAGGGGGACGTGGGGCCCCCAGGGCCAGAGGGGCCCCCAGGGTCTCCGGGACCCTCAGGGCCTCAGGGAAAACCAGGGATTGCTGGGAAGACAGGGTCCCCGGGCCAGCGGGGGCCCATGGGGCTTAAGGGTGAGCCAGGGATCCAGGGGCCCCCTGGACCCCCAGGGCCCCCAGGCCCACCAGGAAGCCAGAGCCGCTACTAAGGGCCCCAGTCCCAGACATTGCTACACAGGATGGCTGGAAGGGCCTCAGGGCAGAGCGAGCCCCCCAGAAAGCCACACCTACAGACAGCTGTGGTCCTATGATCCCAAAGGGGCCTCCCCCTGGCCTGTCCCTGCACCTCCGGGCTCCACAGTACTGACTGTACCATAGACAGCAGCCCCTCAACCACGCGCGCGCGCGCACGCGGACACGCACACACGTTTCTCTGCTGGCCGGGGGGTGGGTGGGGGGGTGGGCAACCGGGCTTCCCTGGCTGGGCAGGAGGAGAGGGCAGGGGGAGATGGCCCCTCTCCTGTGACGGAGCCTGCCAAGGAGGTGGCTACCTTGGGGGGAAGGTCTTGAATCTATTTCTGAGTTCTTGACCAACTCAGCTTTCCAGCGTCTTCAGAACCAACCTGGCCAGCAGTTCCCTGTGGCTCCCAGCGCTTGAAAAGACCCAGGAAAACCTTTGCAGGGGATGTGGTTCAAACTCTAGGGACAAGGGGGATTTGGCGACCAAAAACATTCTCCTCCTAACTGTGGGAACGGAGTCCCGGCAGCTGCCCCTGCCTCACCTGGGCCAGAGGGACTCCACCTGCGCCGCCGTCCCCGGGCTCTGCGCACCATGCTCCCATGAGTTCAGCATTTTTTCATGTCTCCAGAAAATTCCTCACGTCATCCTTGCCTCCTTCTCCCAGGAGCATCCCAGAAGAAATCCAAGGAGGAGTCTCATCTGCATGGGAAGGCTATCTAGGCCCTGGAACATTCTCCCAGAGTGGTGCCCGGCAGCTGGGACACTGGAGGAAGGTGGGGTGGGGGGACAGAAGCACGTGTGAAGAGGCCGGGGTCAGCGGGCCGTCTGTGGAGTTGGCTCCCTTGCTCTGCACCAGGCCAGCCTGCCCCACTCCTGGGACGGGACCCCTCTGTGGCGGCTGATGGAGGCCAAGCCGGGTAACAACAGCTCTCCCCTCCTGCACCCAGCTCTCCTGCCCACAGGTGCCCGCTGACCTCACCCTACCATGACTCAGAATGGCCCGAGGCCTCTCTGCATGGGCAGCAAGACTGGACGTGAAGACAGAAGGGCCTGAACGTGTACAAGAGGCTCACTTTGACATCACCCCTCACCACCTCCAGCTTCCTGCGCACACGGGCACAAAGGAGCCCTGGGAAGCTCCCCTGGCAAGGTGAAGGCAGCCCACAGGCTAAACTGGTTGTAGAGCTGCCCTCCTTTGTGTACAACAGACTCCGACCACTCCTGGGCCGGGGCATGGAGCTGTCTCCTCCCCGGCCCGACTCAGACACCAGCCCCTTTCCGCCTTCCGAAAGCCTTCATGCCACCTCCCCTCTCGTAATAGGTGTGCAACTGGTTTGCACTCCCGCCCACCCCCACTGCCGTGTAATCCTGTCTACATATGATATCATGTGACGTAGTATTACTGACTCAGTAAAGAGCTCTTTCCAGGAGGGAGGTGTCTTCTGGTCCTTTCGGCCCAACCAGGGTCATAATGCCTCACCGGTCCTTGAAGGGAAACCAGTGGACAAGGGGTCTCCTAGATACTCACTGTGGAGTTTGGGTCTCACCCCCTTACCCTCCATCTAGAAACACTGAGCTCTGCCAGGAATTCACGGTGGTCCTGTTGGGGCCAGGCACCAAGAGCAATGTGGGGGAATTCCCCACAACGAGCAGGAGCCCAGTGAGAAACAAGGTGAGCTTTTTTATTCTTGCAGCAGGCTAAAATGGGTCCTGGACATCTGAGTGATACCTTCCCGAGGCTTCCCTCTGCTGCTTCTAAGACTGGCAGATAAAAGAGAAAAGGAGGAAGAGACCAGGCTAGACCTTCCCCCCGAAGGCCTGGCTCTCCAGGATCCACAGCTGGGTCCCCTGTGAATCAGCCAGGCTGATGGACCAGGCTAACATCTCAGTCCATTTGGGCCGCTATCACAGAACACCACAGCCTGACTTATAAACAGCAGACATTTCTTTCTCGAGGTTCTGGACGCCAAAAGTCCACGCTCAAGGTGCTGGCAGATTTTAGGGTCTGGTGAGGCCCTGCTTCCTGGCTCACAGCTGGCCATATTCTCACCCTGCCCTCACATGGCAGGAAGGGGGAGGAAGCTCTCTGGGGCCCCTTTTATAAAGGCCCTAATCCCATTTGTGAGGGCTCCACCCTCAAGACCTAAACACCTTCCAAAAGTTCCACGTCCTAATACCATCCCACGGGGGGTTAGGGTTTCAACATATAAATTTGGGGGAGACACAAATATTCAGTATGGTAAGATAGTGTATTCATTTGCTGGTAAAACATGGCCTAGGCGAAGTCCTAGGCCCTGTTTTGCTTTTGTATTTTGTACTTTTGTATTTTTGTATTTTCACCAGAGAAACAAAACCAATAGACTAAACAGTAGTCCCCCGTTATCTGTGAAGGATATGTTCCAAGACCCCCAGTGGATGCCTGAAACCACACATAGTACTAGACCCTATATATATATTATACTTTTTTCCCCAAATATACATACCTATGATAAAGTTTAATTTATAAATTAGGCACAGTTAAGAGGTTAACAACAACAATAATAAATAGAACAATTATAACAATACCCTGTAATAAAAGTTCTGTGAATGTGGTCTCTTTTTCTCTCTCTCAAAATATCGTATTGTACTGTACTCACCCTTCTTGTAGGGATGTGAGATGATAAAATGCCCATGTGATAGGATGAAGTGAGGTGACGGATGTAGGCATTAGGACCTACATGTTGGGCTACTGTTGACCTTCTGCCCGTGGGTCAGAAGGAGGATCATCAGCTTCCGGACTGTGGTTGACAGTGGTAACTATAAACTTGGAAAGCAAAACTGCGGATAAGGGCAGACTACTGTATACATATGTGTGTGTGTGTGTGTGTGTGTATATCGGGGTCGGGAGGCGGGCGGACAGAGGGAGATACAGAGACTGAGAAGTCCCATGATCTTGTGTGGGCAGGCTGTCGATCCGGGAGCACCGATGGTGTAGTTCTAGTCTGAGTCCAAAGACCAGGGAACCAGGAGGGTCCGTAGTGTAAATTCCAGTCCAAGGCAGGAGAAGACCCATGTCCTAGCTCACACAGCCAGGCGGAGATAGAATTCTCCCTTTCTTCACCTTTTTGTTTTACTCTCTCGCCCTCTGCAGATGGGATGGTTGATACCTACCCGCTTTAGCGAAGCTGATCTTCTTTACTCAATCTGCCCATTCAGTTGCGAATCTCTTCTGGAAACATCCTCACAGACACACCTAGAAATAATGTTTAGCACAGAGGCCTTGTGCCGTGGGGGTCGCCTCTAGGAGGGGAGGGTGGCACAGAGTGAACGATAGGTCTCCACCTCAAGCCGCACATGAGGCAGGCCAAGGGTGGGAGAAGAAGGGGGCCCTGGGGACAAGAGTTACAGGTGAGGCTGAGGGGGCCGGGGAAGGCGTCACCCAGGTTGTAGCGGAGTCTGTGGGCCTTGAAGGAGGCAGTGGGGACCATCCAGTGGGGTCATTTTACAGCCCGGGTCCCCAAGAACACCTCCAGGAAATTCCAGACAATCACTGTCCAGGGTGGGGTTGACGGCATGGCTGGCGGGGGCCATGCTCCCCAGCATGAGCCAGGGGTCCCGGGAGCTGGGGGAGCCCCAGCCCGAGGGCAAGCCAATGTCCTGGAGTCAAAGTCTGGGAAAGGTAGATCTGCGATCCATTCCAAGGGATGAGCTGGGATCCACAGAATGAGAGACAAGGCTCCAAGGATCAAAAACCGAGCGATTCGAGAGCATAGACGCAAACAGGTAAGAAAAACTCATGTGTCCTGGACAACTGTCCCCAGCCTCCCTGGCCGTGTGGTTTGGAGGGGGGTACACAGAGAGGGGGTCACGTGGTAAAATTAGAGACACGAGAGCAAGACTGACGCTGAGCAAAGCTGGCCATGAACTCTGTGGTTGGCAATAAAGGAAGAAGAGAATCATAACGACATTAATAATAACACACACCAGTGGAGGATTTACTATGCAACAGAAGACCATTCTAAAGACTTTACAGGGCGCCTGGGTGGCTCAGTTGGTTAAGCGACTGCCTTCGGCTCAGGTCATGATCCTGGAGTCCCGGGATCGAGTCCCACATCGGGCTCCCTGCTCGGCGGGGACTCTGCTTCTCCCTCTGACCCTCTTCCCTCTCGTGCTCTCTATCTCTCATTCTCTCTCTCTCAAATAAATTAAAAAAAAAATCTTTAAAGACTTTACACATCTAATCCTCACTACAATTTATAGTGTAGCTCTTCTGTCTATATGTACTATTATTATTCCCACTTTACACATGGGAAAACTGAGGTTTGGAGAGATTAACTTCCCAAAGTCACACAGATAATGAGTTTTTAGATGTACCTCTATTGAAACTCAGCCTTAGGCGAGTTACCCTCTCCGAGCTTCTGTCCCCTTCCTGTAAAATGGCTGTTATAATTGTACCTACCTCTTGAAGTCATTGAGGGGATTAAGTAAGAGGATACCGTGAAACAACAACAACAACAACAACATCCAGCTGACTAAATCGGAAGATCTAATGGGCTTCCTTAAATGATTCATGAATCAGGCAGCACCCCGTCTGGCAAATAGAGGGGCACTTGGAGGAATTGTACAAAATGGAGAGTTTTTATGGGGGGGCAAAAAATTATAAGCAAAAGAAAAGAAAGGGTCATTGCAGGCACAATCACCTTCCCATGGTGGGAATAGCAGGGGGTTTTATGATGCAGATTACCTCATCTTCCTTTGGGGAAGGGAGAAGACCCATGTCCACAGATGATCTCATTGGCGCTTATCAGAAAATTCCTGATTGACAGGTTGAGACCTACATTTGCAGGGGAGAGTGAAACTGCAGTTAGGTTAGGTATGAAGCCCAGGTTTGATGACCTGGCCTGGCCCAAGTACTGCCATTTGGGGCCCGTGATTTTCTTTTTAACAATGCACTTGGCCAGTTGCCTGGTACATTAGTCAGCTCAGGCTGCCATAACAAAGTACCACAGGCTGGGTGGCTCAACCAATACAAATGTATTTTCTCAGGGTTCTGGAGGCTAGGAAGTCCAAGGGCAAGATGCCAGATCTTCCTGGCTTGCTGTGTCATCTGGTTCCAGGGTCGGGGGTGGGGAGAGAAGTGTCTGGGAGGAGAGAAAAGGAGTGAGAGAGAGCACGCTTTTCCTTTTCTTATAAGGCCACGGTCCTAACAGATTAGGACCCCACTCTTATGATCTCATTTAACCCCAGTTACCTCCTAGTATCCTATCTCCAGATACAGTCACATGGGGGGTTAGGACTTCAGCATGTAGATTTTGTGTAGACACAATCCAGTCCGTAGAATACGTGGCGGTGGTGATTATGCTACTAGCAGCCATTGTCACGAGGGTCATTATACAGATCCAGAGCTTCCCGAATGGCCGTGGCACCCACCACTGTCCTCTGCAGATGACCAGCCAGAACTCCAGCCCCTGCAACTCCCACTCCCACATTCTCTGCATTCTTAGATCCAAGAGTGAGCTGGTGCATCACCAGGCTCAGCCTCTCTACTTGCCAAGACAGAAAGCAAAGACTGCTAGAGGTGAAGAGTTTGTCACCACCTAGGACTAGAACTCAGGCCTCTCGGGTCCTGGTCCCCGCAACTTCTCACATCTCTGGTTGTGCTACAACTCTACTTCTTGGGCCCCTTTGCTGTTGGTCACAACCATTGAGCACCTCCTGATGCACATTCCCCAGAAAGTACCTCCTAGTCCCTTTCTCTCATCAAATGGCCCCTACTACTAATGTGACCCTTCATAGTATCCAGACCATTTTAGGTGCTGCTGGGAAGCCCAAGAGCTGGGCCCAGGTGTCGGTGGAGTGGGGTGGCGGGGGGGAGCTGGAACCATCAAGCGTGTAGCAAACACTCTGAACCGGTACACTGTTCTGTGCAAACACTGTGGGAGATGGATCCGCCCACTTCATAGTGGGATGATTGGGTGGACTCCATGGTGGAGTTCCTTCACGGACATGGAACTGGAGCAGGTCATGCTTCTGCCCCGCTGGGCCCTCCATTCATGGTGAGACTGCAGGCTGACAAAGCCCCTCTCTGACTTTTGGTTTCTCTGCTAGGAAACAGTGGTCCAGTCTTGACATTCCTTCAGGGAGTCACCTGGAATGTGCCGGATTCCTCTATCCTGCAATTCTAACCAAGTGTTCTTCCTCCTGCCCTGCTTAGTTGCCTTCCTGGAACTTGCCAGGGCTAAGGCATTAAAGTCTGAACCCAGACGGAGAGGTGACAGCCTGCGAGATCTCAGTCACTGGATTAGAATCATGGCCTTTGCCGTCAGGTTGTTTTAATCCCCACCAGATTTGCAAAGCCTTGAAGGAACTTCTGGGCTTCCTTCTAAGGAGAGCAAAGGGGCTTTCTGGAGGCCACAGGACTGGGCTATGTCTAAATCCTCCCAGGCCTGCC